TAGTTGTGGCAAGCGGGGGCCGCTCTTCATCGCAGTGCGCGGGCCTCTCACTATCGTGGCCTCTCTTGTTGCGGAGCACAGGCTCCAGAAGCGCAGGCTCAGTAGCTGTGGCTCACGGGCCTAGTTGCTCCGCGGCATGTGGGATCCTCCCAGACCAGGGCTCGAACCCGTGTCCCCTGCATTAGCAGGAAGACTCGCATCCACTGCGCCACCAGGGAAGTCCCCTAATATATATATATTTTTTGCGGTACGCAGGCCTCTCACTGCTGCGACCTCTCCCGCCTCGGGACACAGGCTCCGGACGCGCAGGCCTCTCACTGCTGCGACCTCTCCCGCCTCGGGACACAGGCTCCGGACGCGCAGGCCCAGGGGCCACGGCTCACGGGCCCAGCCACTCCGCGGCACGTGGGATCCTCCCAGACCGGGGCGCGAACCCGTGTCCCCCACATCGGCAGGTGGACTCTCAACCACTGAGCCTCCAGGGAAGCTCCCCCTCTAATATTTTTTAAATACATAAAAACATATTGTTGACTCTATTACAATTTGAAATAACTGATTTAGTATCTAATACTATTTAGTATCAAAATTTTAAGATTATCCATTACTATTTTCTCTGTTTCTGGTTAAAAAAAAAATTAACAAGCATGTTTAATAGTGGGGGAAGTTTTTTTATTTTTTAAGTTAACTATTTGGCTGCCTCCCGGTAACTCTAAGATCTTGTTTCATCTAGAAACAAGAAAATGCAAATCATACTTGCATTTTCCAAGTGAGAAATAAAGAGCTGAAAAATGCAACATAATACAACATCCCAGTCATATACAGGTAAGACTTCACTAAGTGCATTCTTTCAACTAAGAAAATTAAACAAGGCAAGTAATCATCTAATACCCTAAATAAATGAATAAATAGCATCTTTTAACCATATATACAAAAATAAGCAGTGTCACTTAAAGAGGACCTTTTTCATTTTAGCCTTAGCAATAAGAAAAGCATGTATCTATGTACATTTTGACAATAATAGAATTAACTCATCAGCAACTAAGTGTACCTGTAGCTTAAGAGAGAAATCTTGTCAAGACTGCTTGATGATTTGCAAAAAAAAAAAAGGAAAGTTAAAAAAAAAAAACTCTTAGACATCCTATTGCTATTATATGGCAATTGCTGCAAAATAAGCTACTAGAAAGAAGAAAAATGAATAAATCGCCAAAAATGTTTGCATACTTCAGCAGGTTTAATTTTTAAAACAATCTCAGTACCTCCAGAAGATAGTGATTTTGAAAGTGTTTTCTAAAATATTTCATGGTAAATGTTTTCTTTTCAATGTCAATAACTTTAAAGTTATTTAATAAAATTGGAGTTATTTCTCAAGCCACTTAGAATAATGTATACATTTACCTAAGCTTTAGAAAAAGTTATGTTCAAACTTTATATTCATGTAATTACTAAAAAAACTAAAAGTCCTCAACACATTTTTATACAAAGTAAAATTCAAATAAATTATACAGATACAACATGGAAGGAAAAGAAAAACAGTTCTCAGAGGGAGGCATGTGTACCTTCTCACTTTCATGAGAAAATGTAAATAGATCTTATTTCCCTTTTCGAATTCAGATTTAGATCCGAATTTCCTATGGCTCGCATATCTGCTTCCTAACTCTATCCCCCACCTTGACCTATCTAGACCACTTTCTAAGTCTTAATTTGCATCTATCTATTGTACTGTGTGTATTCTCATGACGCATCTCAATCGAGATATAGGTAGTTATGAATAGTGTGTATTAGTTCATAAGTCTACTTGCATCTTCTTTTTTTTCTTTTTTTTTGGCCATGCTGCCTGGTGTAATGTTAGTTGCCTGACCAGGGATCAAACCTATGCCCCCTACAGTGGAAGCGCAGAGTCCTAACCACTGGACCACCACCAGGGAATTCCCTACTTGCATCTTCTTAATACTAAAAATAAATAAATAAACCCCTAAAGTCAATACACACATGATAAACACAGACACAGTATCAGGTACAGATTAAGAGTAAGGGCTCTAAAAAGTTCCAATCAGTTCTGCCACTTATATAATGTTAACTTAATCTTGGGGACTTCTCTAATTCATCCTTTTTCATCAGGTAAACAAGGTAAATTAATTAAAGAATTCAAAACAATCAACACAGAGTCTGGTGGTTTGCTCTGCAAGGCAATAAATAACAAATGGTGGCTACTATGTTCACGTTAACACGTTAACATGACGTTATGTTTAAACATGGTGGTTATCAAAAACTACTGTGTACTAATCAGCTGTTTGTAAGGCTATGTGCAGTCTAGATGTTTAAAGTGATTGGTGATAAGAAAGGGGAAACAGGATAGGCAGCTGGCGGGTCCTGAAGGGTAAGTGCTATCTGAGGATGTGCAGAGAAGCCAAACTACACAGGTCCCAAAGTGGAGAAGTAACCTCATGAATGCAGTCTGAGTAAAAGGGCACAAAATATGGAGGCTTGGAATATCATTTGGCAGATGAAAATTAGACCTTCTTCCTTCCTTCCTTCCTTCCCAGAATTCTACAACCTGGGAAGAGACAGTGCTAATATATAACAATATCCCAATTGTGCTAAACAATCTTGTGATGAGGGGCCAAAATAAGTTGGTAGAAGATGGATGTTCTCCTCACAGGCAGGGAGGCAGTGTTGGGCAGAAACAAACAAGAAAGCAAGCAAAAGCTGACACCAGATGTGTAGGACTCAGATGTTAACACCTCCCATGGGAAAGGTGGCATCAAAAGACAGTAAATGAATACAAAAGTTGTTCTCAAACCCAAAGCTGTTATTGCCGCTAACCCACATACTGAGAGAAGGGGGTAGAAGTTGGTGCCATGTTATTGGCACCAACTATACTACAAACTTGTCTTCCCAAAAAGTGAGCAGACTCAGCCAGCATGATTCACCTATGATGTATATGGAGATAAAAGAACTACGAGTACTTTTAGAGAAGCAAAACAAAGTAAAGGATGCTGGAATTCCCAACCTTTAGTCTAGAATGTACTGATCACAAATCAAACTAGGTAACTTCCTTAAATGAAAGTATATTCCAGAGGGCACAAAATATGGAAGCTTGAGGCTCCCCCTCAAGTTGCAGAAACTAAATGAATGAATTTTTTAGCTGTATTTGGATTGCTTCATTGATAAAAGGACACGTTAAAATCAATTTGTCTACTAATTTATGAAACAGTTATGGTATGAAAGATGGTGAGGAGGAAAAAAGTGAAATATATAACAGCCTTTTCACTTTTAAATGCTTTTCATAACTTGTGTTATGTTTTACTTCTGAAAGGAGGTAGACAAAGTGGAAATAAAAGTCAAACCTATGCATTATTAAGAATGTTTTCTAAAAGGTTTATGTGAAGATAAAACTGTTTTAGCCCCCCCCAAAAAAGTATAGATTTCACTTATCTATTATAACATTAATCTTCTTGGATAATCCAAAATTAGATTCAGTTATAATTAAGAATAAAATAATAGACGCAAAATCTTCTGTAAGTAATTTGTGCATGTATGTCTTTATGTTGCTCAACCATATAACCTACTACATATATTTTTTTTTAAGTACTAAACATGTAAATATGTTAACACGGGAAAATATCTAGGATACCCAGCCATCTTACTAAGGGCTACCTAGAGACAGCACACAGTGATTGTTCACTTCACAAACTCAGCACTAATATAAATACCTCTACTGCTTCTTCTTTCAAATTTTTACTGAAGTGCAGCTTCAAGAGTTGAAGTGTGTCAAGGCATACAGCTGTATAAATTTATAGTTCTTTAATAACAATGCCATTAGCAACAAAGTGTATCAATTTCCTCAGGGCTCAACAAAGTGTTTCAACAACTTTGCTACTGCGTGTAAAATGATGATAAAACCTGTTTCAATTTTTATAGTATTTGCCAATATAGACGTACTTATAAACAAGGTGATTTACTTGTTTTATCTTTAGCAAACTGCTTATCTTACATAGCCACTTAACAAATAGAATCTGAATATTAACCTTACATGAGCACCATTCATTACACAAATACTTAACTGAGCACATTTATTCAGCATTTACAGAGTATAAGGTATTAAAGACAAATAAGTCTACCAGAGAGAAATTGTCCCGGCGCTCCTGGAGCTTACAGTCTATAGAGGTAAGTATATGTCAGCAGGGAGGCACCTCCAACACATGCTTCAGGACTAGGAGCCACAAAAACTCAACTACAGTACCAGCGTTCCCGCTACCTAGCTGTGTACCTTGGGGAGCTCCCTTCACCAATCCCTCTAAGCCACAATTGCCTGATCCGTAAATTGTAGGTTTGAATCCTTTCCAGCTCTAATACAGTCTGAGACTCCAAGCAATTCGAGGTTGGTGACAACAGCGTCCCATTCAACTCTGAGCTCTCAGAACCTAGCAAAGTTGTACGCTGGATGAGTGAAAGACAGCGAGGGCTCAACTCCCGGTGGGGAAGATTCCCCTAAGTCCTTTCTTGTTCTTCGGCTATCTCTACAGGGCATCTTTAGCAGGGGCGGGGTATCTGCGGTGAGGCAGAAACTGCGCAACCCCTCCCCCCCGCACCCAGAGGAACAGTTCAAGGCCTGCGGCCCTTCCCGCCCTCTCCCGCCAGAAAAGACTCAGCGGTGGGCCGAACGACCGGCAGAGAGGGTTGACCGTCCACCTCCGTGACAACAAGGCCACACTCCCGCCTACTGCACCTGCTGGCCTGTGGCCTCCGGTCTGCTGGGCTTCCCCACCCCCCGAGCGGTGTCACGTGACTAAAACCTAGCCCCGCCCCCGGGGGCAGTTTTTTGGCGCGCGGCAGTGACGTCAGCGTCCTGTCACCCGCCAACGCCACCGCCCCTGCCAGAGCTACCTCGCGTTTTAAACTCGGCCCCGCCCCGCCCGCCGTGTCTGCGGGCGCTGCCGGCTCCCGGGCCGCGCCGTTAACGGGCCCCGACTGCCCCAAGCCCCGCCCGCGCCGCTTACCTTGAGGTGGCCGCTGTCCGGGCTGCTCGCTTCCTCCTCGTCCTCGCCTCCTGAGGCGGCGGCGGCCGAGGCGGTGGGCGGCGGCGCGCCCCGGCCCCGAAGCCCTGGGTGCTCTGCGGCGGCGGCAGGCAAGGCAGCTGAGGCGGCGCCCCCGGCGGCTCCGGGACTGAGCGTCACGTTGTGCGCGTTCTCACCCCAGCGCCACGGGTACACCATGAAGTCACTGAAGCCGGGGCTGGTGGGAATAAGCGGTGGCGGCGGCTCCGGCTCCCCTCCGCCGCTGCATGTGGGCTTGATCGGGGTCGTCCTGATGACCGACACCAGCACCCGCTTCGGGGAGTCCTGGCAGAAGATGACGGGCGGCGGCTGCGGCGGGTTGTCAGCCATCGGCGCCTCCACACCCCGGATCATTGCCCGGCCCCGATCCGCAGCTCCGGCGGCCGTGGGCCGCACTCCCTGAGCCCGGGTCTGGCCCTTTGCTCCGCTCGCCCGCGCTGCTCCGAGTCGCCGGCTCTCAGTCCCGCTGGCTCATGGCAGGCGGACGTTTCCTGGAACCCTCCTGCGCGGCGGCCAGCGAAGGAGCAGAGCCGCTCGGCCTGCACCAGGCTGCCAGGGCCGGACCCCAACCCTGGGTCAAGCCCGCCCTCCACTCTTTGTGCTCCCCAACGCAGGCTGCAGCGGCGGGAAGCAGCGGGCGCCTTGCCTTGCGATGACAGGAAAGCAGGACGCGCAGCGCCGAGCCCCCGAAAATAACAACCTGCCGCCGGGGTCCCTGCTCCAGTTTTTCCCGCGTTACATTTCGCGCCTGGGCGGAACCAATCACCGCCAGTCCCCTGCCCGCTGGCCGCAGCGGCGAGTGACAGGACATGCGAGCCAATAGCTGTGACTGGATTTCTTTCTAGCTAGAGCGGGGCGGAGCCGGACCTGCGCGCGGGTCCTTTCTGCCACGCTATTGGCCGCGGCTCTTGTATTTTTTTTCTGCCTGGAGAGCCAACAGCGTTCGAAACTCCGGGGGAGCGCGCGACGTCTGCACTCGCCCAGACACACCCTCCAGTAGCCCCGCCCCTGCCGTCCTTCCGCGCGGTTAGTCAGGGTTGGAGGCGCGCTGTGGGCGACAGGCAGGGGCGGGCGGTAAGAGAGTTGCTGATTGGAAAGTTATCAGGGAGGGGGCGGGCCAGGGGTGGTAGTTGGCCGGCGGGGGCGCTCGTCTGGCGGCCCCTCCCGCCTGTGGCAGTTAGGCTGTAGTTCCCGCGCGGCTGGGGATTTAAAGGGCTGGGGGCCG